TGTTTTTGTAAAAGCATAATCCATTTTTCACAGAGTAATTTCATGGAAGATCGCTTGTTGCCTGCTGGAATAATTTCTACAAATATGTATCATCTTTTGCTGCCTTTTGTATGTCATCCAATAGAGACACCTGTGAAACAACTAATGGATTCAACAGAGGACTGTCAGTTCGGCGAGATAAGGCATCAGCCGCTGAGTTCTCACATCCAGGCCGGTAAATAATCTCATAATCGTACCCAAGAAGTTTGGCAACCCATTTTTTCTGCTCAGGGGTGGCCACACGTTGATCTAGAAAGTATTTGAGGCTTCTTTGATCTGTTTGAATAAAGAACTTCCGGCCTTGGATGTATGGTCTTCAAGTTCGAATTGCCTTTACTATGGCTAACATTTCTTTAGCATAGATAGAGCACGACCGCTTGGAAACCCCCAATGCTCTACTTAGGAATGCTATCGGCCTTCCTTGTTGAGTTAAAACGGCCCTAATTCCATCTCCTGAAGCATCAGTTTCAATGATGAATGTCTCGGAGAAATTTGGCATGGCAAGGATAGGCGTGGTTGTGATGGCTTGTTTGAGCCGTGTGAATGCCTCCTCCGCCTCTTCATTCCACTTGAAACAACCCATTTTGAGAAGGTTAGTGAGAGGGCGAGCTATCAACCCATAATTTCGAACAAACTTCCTGTAGTAGCCTATCAAACCCAAGAATCCTCACAGCTCAGTCACATTAGTAGGTTGCGGCCAGGCTATCATGGCCTCTATTTTTTTGTTATCAACCTTTACTCCATGGGGTGTCACCACATGGCCCAAATACTCTAGCTCCTGCTTGCCAAAGTTACATTTGCTTGCTTTGACAAAAAAGTTGTGATGTTTCAAGATGTCTAAGGTGGTGCGCACATGACTCAAATGTAAGTCCCAGGTAGGACTATAAATCAATATATCATCAAAGAAAACCAATATGAATTTGTAGAGGTGTGGACGAAATATAGAGTTCATAATAGCTTGGAAAGTGGAGGGGGCGTTACATAAGTCAAAAGGCATAACCAGATACTCAAAATGCCCATTATGAGTTCTAAAAGCAATCTTCGGAATATCAGGGGCGTGGACTCTTACCTGGTGATAACCCGCTCGAGCTCCATGTAATTCATCCAGCATGTCGTCTACGGATGGAATTGGAAACCGATCCTTGACAATGGCTGCATTGAGTGCCCTGTAATATGTGCAAAACCTCCAGGACCCATCTTTTTTCTTCACCAGTAGAACAGGAGAGGAGAATGGACTGGTACTTGGTCGAATGATTCCCATATCCAACATTGCTTGCACTTGTTTTCGATCTCTTCTTTTTGAAAATAAGCATACCGGTAATGGGCGAACATTGATGGGTTGTGTCCCTTCTTTCAAAGGAATGTGATGGTTGATTTCCCTTAATGGCGGCAGCTTAGTGGGCTCTTGGAAGATGTCTCCATACTCTTTTAATAGTTGCAGCATATCTGTTGGAATGTCGTCCCACTGAAACTCTTCTAAGGCTTGAGCATAAATTGCAAAAACCATCTGACCTTGGTGGTGTTCCTTCGTAGTAGTCTTTAAGGAAGTAGCTTGAAGCCTGTTTTGAATTCCTTGTAGCCTGTGTGCTTGATTTTTCCATTTGAAATCCATTGTCAATTGCTTCCAGTTACAAACTACGGACCCCAACATTTCCAACCATTGAATTCCTAAAACCATATCCAACCCAGCCAATAGTAGTGAATAAAATGTAAGTGAAAATGGAATTCCTTGTAAGACTACTGGTACCATATCAAACCGCCCCTGGCAGAGGAGTCGCTCTCCATTAGCTACATGGATTGTAAATGCCTTGGTTGGGACTACTGGCAGCCGTAAGGAATCAGCTATCCTGTCACTTACAAAGTTGTGCGTGGAGCCACTGTCAATTAATACTGTTACCTCTTGCGTCCCAATTGTAGTTGTGATCCGCATAGTCCGTGGTGAGGTCCACCCCGTTATCGCATACATTGATATTTCTGCCTCCTCTTCCCCGATTAGCAGCGATCCGTCACCCCCACAGCTATCATCATGAGTTTGATTGTCAGTGCGACATTCGAGGAGAAGGAGTTGCGGGCCTTGACATTTGTGGCCAGCAGTGAACCTCTCGTTGCAACCGAAACAAAGACCTTGAACTCGTCTCTTTTGCATTTCTTCCCAACTCAAGCGTTTAGGGGTCACCGACGAAGTTTGCGGCTCTTGAGGGGCCCTTGCAGGAGATAGGTACTGGGGAATTGGTCAGGCAAACCTCCGCTGTCGTGCGAGTTGTTCATCCTTCATCCGTGCCAGCCCAATTGCCTCCTTTAAAGTCTTGGGTTTGAACATGCGGATACCATTGGCGATTTCTGATTTCAGGCCTCCCATGAACGTACCAACGAGAGCTTTTTGAGTCCAGCCTTGTACCCGATTGCCCAATTTCTCAAATTCCCGCTGATAGTCCTGAAGCGTCCCAGTCTACCTTACACGAGAGAGAGCCTCATCAAAGTCTTCTCCATCCGTTGGTCCGAATCGAGCCCAAAGCTCTTCAGAAAACATGGACCACGTCACCGACTGGTTTTCCTCTTTGTATGTCCGGTTCAGCCATTGCCACCACTGGTTTGCCTCACCCTCCAAGTGAAAAGCCACCAAGCTCACCTTCTGTTCCTCCGGAGTTCTCTGAAATTCAAAGAACTGAGCTACACGATTGAACCATTCTATTGGATCATCCCCTGAAAACCGTGGGAACTCAATTTTGGCTCGAGGAGGAAGAACGTTCAGTCGGTAGTTGTCTGCTTCATCCTATTGGTGCCGGTGCGACTGACCCCGCTCTACTGAGTGCGAAGTTGTAGATGCCTTTGAGGAGAGAACCGCATCAGAAAGAGCCCTCAAGGACTCCTCAATCCGCTGCATTCGATCACCCATTCCAAGCCCAAGCCGTTGCACTTTATCCTGTAAGCCTCCCAACCCTTGCTCTAATATTTCAATTCGCTCTTTGTTGGTTGCCATTGTGGCTCTGATACCAATTGTTAGGTCCCAATTAGATTCAAGGCAAACCAGAAATAAGACTTTCTTTTGGTGAAAGATGGACCAATTGAGAGAGAATAATTCAGCTTACTCATCCCAGCTAGAGAGGTTACATAAATACTAGTTCCTGTAACAACTTACTCCTAAATGTTAGTTACTGACCTAGATTCTAGGAAACAGACTCAAAGCAAATCCATGTAACAACTTATTCCTAATTACTAGCTAACTAACCTTGACACAGTCATAGTAGTGCTGACAAATTCAAATCATAACAAATAACAGAAACTGAAATAACAGAACTTCAACAAATAGCTAGTCGTTTGCTGAATCGATGCTGACCAAGTCAATCCAGGAACTTGGGATTTTTCTTAGGAGCGCACAACGACCTTCTGGATTTATCATAAGGTTCCTTCTATGGTGATCTATTCCATTTGGATAATATCAAGGGCAAAATCTCCACTACAGATGTCCTAAGAAGGAAAAGTATGTATATTGTTAGTACATGTTGTTTATGCGGTTTGGATGAAGGGACTATCCAACATTTATAGGTAGGTTGTACCTTCTCTAAATCCCTGCAGTCTCATGCTCTAAAGTTGTTTGGGATGAATTGGGTGAGCCCTCCAAACCTTGAATCCTTATTCTCTACTTGGATATTACAAGCTTTCAATAAAAGGGGGAAAGTTCTCTAGAATTTGGTTATTTTCTCAATTTGCTGGTGCCTTCGGAAGGAGAGGAACAATCAAATCTTTGAAAAAAGTTTGTGCATAAATTTCATCATTAGAGATTTAAAAAAGTTTGTGCAACCATAGCAAAAACATTATACATTTTTGATGCATAAATTTTTTTATACGTTTCAATAATTTATTAGAGAAGTCTGATGTTGTATCTAAATTATTCTTCTCCACTAGACAACTGCTACAACTTCATCTAATGCATCTTTTGGTGATCTTTATGTACTTACAGACAGCCCTGACCCATCCCCCTTAATGATTACACTCCCACGTTCTGATGAACACCCATGAGAAGAATTTACATCCATCAACATCCTGCAAAAAATAGACATTTAACTTTGGTCAAGGACAAAAGTCGATCAATAAAATCTACAATTAACAAATTATACTTACATGAGGCTTTGCACAAACCCATAACCGTTTGTTTCCCTTGTGTATTAGGCCATTTGGGTGTAAAGACTCTACAAACCCTAATCCTGCATGGGACAAATCCTTGCCTTATCTTTCCACAAGAAGAAGTTGCATCTTCTATCAAGGTTGAATTACAATAACCATATGTCGGTTAGTAATTTTTCTCCTCAAGTTAGTGAACACCAAACTTTTATAGAACATCCAACTTACATAAAAGTGACAAGCATAAAACTCTTGACTAACATTCTTGGTCTTTCCATGCCTAGCTACAATGGTTACACACTCTCTGCATCGACACACAACATTCATGGTGACAAGTCAAGTGAAGTCAATTAACCCTGGAATAATAAAAAAATGTTCATTAGGACATTTTATCAAACAAGTTATCAGGTGGGCTGGGGGGTTGAGTGTGAACCTAACTATGCAAGGGGGACGGTTAAGCTAGCGGGATGGTCATGTGAAGGGGTGGGCGAGTTGGTGTACTGGGCGTGCAAGGGGCTGGGCAGAAAGGCATTTCTTCAAACAAATGCCATTCAATATCTACATCTATCCGAAATCATTGAAGTACACTTGCACAATTTCCTGCTGACTTGTGCAATGGTTTGTTGATCTCATAAATATGCTTCCAATGGTATGTTAGGGATTTTTGAAAAATATTAGTCACTTGCGTGTTAACGTTTATGACGGAATATTAACGGTAAGGAGATTTTAGGCAATTCAATTCATAATAGGAGTGGTGCAAGATAATAATTAAAGATTAAGGGTATAATTAATCAATTAAGTAAATCATAAGGGTAATTTAAGAAATTTACCCCTTTTCTTTCATCCTCTTCCTCCTCTCGTCATCCCCCAGTTTCTGCTCTCGACTTTCAAAGACATAGACGAACCCAATATTTGGAACGCCCCCCTCCATGACGATTTGAGATGGGCACTGTGCCTTCCTCTTTTAAATCTCTAAAGCCAGGCCTTCAGAATATAATCATTCTTCGTCGTAATGAAAATATATGCTTCACGGAGCGTCGTAAATCTCAGATATTTCTTCCTCCCTCAAAAAGCAGATATTTCTTCCTCCCTTTCTCTACATTCATCTCCAGTATCGACTGTACAATCTCTGACGAGGTCCAAGCCATCCTGGCCAACCCCAGTGCCATCGAAGACCCGCTCGAGAGCCTGGTCCCTTTGCTTTCACGGAGAGTCGTGACTTCGGTTCTTCAACAGCAGCAAAATGCCCAGTTGGGATTTCGATTCTTCATTTGGGCCATGAAAAGGAAGCGTTTTCGCAGTTGGGTATCCCACAATTTTATGATTGATATGCTCTGTGGGGCTAACGGTTTTGAGCTTGCTTGGAAATCGCTTAATGAGCTTAGAAGTTTTAGAATCCCTATTATTTCCCAGGCTTTCTCGGTTTTGATTGCTGCTTATGCAAAGGCGGGCATGACCGAGAAGGCCGTTGAGTCGTTCGGGAGGATGAAGGAATTTGATTGCAGGCCAAATACCTTCACTTACAATACGATCTTACGTCTTCTGGTCGAGAGAGAGGTATTTGTGTTAGCGTTGGCAGTTTATAATCAGATGTTGAAATCTGATTGCCGTCCAAATCAATCTACTTTTGCCATTCTCGTTAATGGGTTCTGCAAAGCAGGGAAGACCATGGACGCACTTCAAATGTTCGATGAAATGACAAAAAGAGGTATTCCTCCCAACACAATGATCTATACTATAATTCTTTCCGGTCTCTGCCAAGCAAAGAGAATTGATGATGCACAAAGACTCTTGGAGACCATGAAGGCGAATGGTTGCAGTCCTGATACGATTACTTACAATGTTGTGCTTAACGGGTTATCTAAATTGGGTAAAATAGAAGAAGCTCTCGAGATGCTGGGGTCATTCAGTAAGGACGGTTTTGTTCTGGGGTTAAATGGGTATAGTTGTTTGATTGATGGATTGTTTAGAGCTGGGAGATTTGATGAGGCACATGAATGGTGGAGGAGAATGTCAGAACAGAACATTTTTCCAGACATTATATTGTATACTATCATGATGAAGGGGTACTCAGAAGTAGGTAAGGTTGAGGATGCAATGAGATTATTGTCCAAGATGACGGAGAGAGGTATTGTCCCTGATACCTTCTGTTATAATACTTTAATCAAGGGTTTTTGTGATGTGGGTCTTTTGGACAAGGCTAAATCTCTCCAACTTGAGATTTCTAAGCATAATAGCTTCCCTGACTCTTCTACTTATACCATTCTCATTTGTGGTCTGTGTAAAGAAGGGCTGATTGGTGAGGCACAACAGATCTTCAATGAGATGGAGAAGCTTGGATGCTTTCCCACTGTTATGACCTTCAATGCTCTTATCAATGGTCTCTGTAAGGCCGGGGAGCTTGAAGAAGCTCATCTTCTGTTCTACAAGATGGAGATTGGGAGAAACCCTTCCTTGTTCCTTCGGCTTTCTCAAGGTGCTGAGCGGGTGCTTGATAGTGCAAGCCTCCAGACACTAGTGGAGCGACTATGTGAGTCAGGATTGATACTAAAGGCTTACAAGCTCCTCATGCAGCTTGCTGATAGTGGGGTTGTACCAAACATAATCACTTACAATATTCTAATCAATGGCTTTTGCAAGGCACGGAATATCAATGGAGCCTTCAAGCTCTTCAAGGAACTACAACTCAAGGGGCTCTCCCCTGATGCCATTACATATGGGTGCCTCATAGATGGACTTCAGAGGGTTAACAGAGAGGAGGATGCCCTTGGGATCTTTGATCAAATGCTGAAGAATGGGTGTCCTCCCACTTTGGATGTTTACAAGACGCTTATGACATCCCTGTGCCGGAAAGGGAAGGTATCACTAGCTTTCAGTCTTTGGTTGAGGTATTTGAGGAGCCTTCCTGATCGAAGAGAAGTGGAAATTCAAGTGGTGGAGGAGCTTCTTGAACAGGGAAGAGTGGAAGAAGTAGTTTGTGGTTTATTGAAACTTGATCTTAAGTACATGGTTAACGATCCATCACCATATACCATATGGCTTATTGGGTTGTGTCGGGCAGGGAGATTAGGTGAAGCTTTAAAAATCTTTTCTCTCCTTGATGAACACAAGATCATTGTCACTCCCCCAAGTTGTGTGATGTTAATTAATGGCCTCTGCCAAGAAGGGAATCTAGACCTGGCCGTAGATATCTTTGTTTACACATTAGAGAAAGGCTTCATATTGATGCCTCCAGTGTGCAACCGGATGATTAGGTCTCTCTGTTCTCAAGATAAAAAGAACCATGTCATTAACCTTCTAAGCAGAATGAAGTCTGTTGGTTATGATTTGGATGTTTATCTTAACCAAACAACAAAGGCTCTTTTATATGGTATGAAACCAAGGTACAAGATGGAACCAAGGTACAAGATGGAAGCAGAGCCTTAGTAAGTTATTGTCATGGCAACAATCTGTTGTGAAAAAGCAATTATGGGTTACATGTCAAAACTATTAGTTAAGAGGTGATTTGCAGAGAAACATGACAAAATTGTCTTAGAGGCCTAAGACATCATGAGAAATTTCTTCAATGAAAATTTCCAAGTTTGCTGTTTGCTAGAGACCTAAGTTCATTGAAGATCTTCAAGCGGCAAACCAAATCCACGAAAGACATTCCATAGTTGCTAAAGATCTAAGTCTCAAGCAACAATTCAAGTTTCTTTTTGCTCTTCCAACTTCCTTTTTTTCTCACATACATTTCTGTCAAGAGTAAGAAAGAAGGAAAGGTTCTTACATCAACTTCTTTTGCTCACATTGAGTTCTGGCTAGGGGAAGACAAAAGAAGAAAAAGATCCCCACACCGAACAATTTGTCTTAAAAAGAAGAGGAAGAAGAAAAATAATACATTCTGTTCAAATTCAGGTAAAAATAGATATTTCGGTTTAATTATGTTAATATTCCACCTTTGTCTTTTATATAATGTGGTATTTTTTTTTTATCAAGAATTCTGAATGAGGTTATGTATGTGTTGATTGTTTCTGATGCTAAGAGAAACCAATAACATTTATAGGCATGAATCGAGATTTTCTAGAATCTTTTGATTATCAATGATCATACTAAAGGTAACATGGTAAAAGATTGACCACTCACACCCCAAGTCTTTAATAGGCATGTGATAAAGGGCTCATTAACAATTGGGTTTGAACATGTCATTGTCTCTGTCAAACAAAGAAAACAAATATGTTACTATGTGTCAACTATTCCTTATACTTTTTGTTAGATGTTGAAGTTGAATATTGCTTAACATTTATTGTCTTTTAATCCAATTGTTCATGCAGACTGATAAATTGATATGGATCTAAACATAATTTTTTATTAAATTTATCATGGTTACTCAGAGGATAATTAATCACTGGCAGTCTGCCATGAACATCTTTTGGGTCTTATAATGTGGATCAGAATTAAATAGATTTAAGTACATATTTGCATCCATGAAATATAAATTCAAAACAACGCTATAATTGCTACTGGTTTCAGTGTTAAACTGGAAATGATGCACATATGATATTCAAAATGTTTTTGCTGTGTCAAATTTGCAACTTGCAAGGCTGAAATGGATAGCTTTCATGATTGGAAAATCATCTGTTGGAAAGAAAGGTTTCATGGAGAGGTTTTGTGTTTCCTTGTTGATTTTTTACCTGTTCTACTCCTATATGTCTACTTATAGCTTAAGAATGTCTTACACATGTTTTGTTTTAGCTTTCTCTAACTTTTCCTAAATAAATTGAAAAATGCAAATGGAGTCACCTAGGTGATAAGAATTGAAAAATAAATAAATTTTGGTTTGTTCCCTAGTTCCATATACCTACAAGCATGCATATTAATTAAAAACGATAGCAATTCTTTATTAAGAACATCAAATTTCCTCTCAAAACATGGAAAAATATCTTATCTAAAACACGATAGTATTTTTTAGCATATACAATAATTAAACAATTAAAAAAGTTACAAGGGGTTGTGGATACAACAAAAAAGCAAAGTACAATTTCACCCCACTACCCTTTTTACATTTGAGACCCAAAACATTTGCTGTCTATTAATCCCTTGTTTGGCCAAACAATAGTCTTTTTAATATATTAATTTAATATTTTAAAAATAACTTATATAATTAAGTATTTAATAGAGAAGTTTCATATCAAATTGGCAACTAAAGAAGGCTATAATTTTATATGACAAAATTTAGATAGAGATTAAGTAAAAGAGAATGAACAAGGGTGGACCCGCTGTTCTATTTAAAATTCAATATTTAAAGAGAACCGACCTCTTTGCCCTCCTTTCTTTCTTCATTTTTCTCTTCTCAAAACCCTTGAATATTTTAAAATTCAAACACCAAGCTTGTGAACACTTGCCAAGCTTCTCCCAAGCATTTCCAACCACTTTCCTACGATCTTTACAGCTATTAGGACTTCAAGAACATTGATAGGATTGGGGTTGGGTTCTTGTGTAGTAGGAAGAGTGGGGTCTTAGGTTTTGGTAGAGCAATGACATGTCTTGGTAGGGAGAGACAAAGGGAGCAAATATAGACTTGACCTGGATTTTCTGTAGTTTGATACTATAAGACAGATGACATATGTGTGAGAACTAATTTCTAGCTCCAGATTCTAGTGTTCTAAAAGAACTGACATTGTTATTTGCAAAGGAGACAAAGAAGAAAAGTGCACCTGGGTTGATGTCCTCACAACGACAATCCAACTTTGAATAGAAGCCCACCTGGGTTGATATCCCTAAAATGGTGAATCACCACAACTAATTTCTAGCTTCAGATTCTAGGATTCTAAAAGAACTGACACTGTTATTTGCAAAGGGGACAAAGAAGAAAAGTTCACCTGGGTTGATGTCCTCACAACGATAATGCAACTCAAACGGAAGCCAACCTGGGTTGATATGCTTAAAACGGTGAATCACCACAAAAAGGAGGAACAACTGTAAATATGGAAACAAAAAAAAAAAAGAAAAGAAAAGCAAAACAAAGGATGGAAACCTTGAAGGCTAGCTGAAGGCTGAAGCATACTTCTGCAAGGAAATCCAAAACTTCAAAATGCCCCTCGCTTTGGTGGTCGAACCATGTTTTACAGTTTTGTTTTGATGTTTTCATGCACTCTGCAACCTTTTGGAAAACAGGGGAGAAGGGATTGAGAATTGTGAAAATTGAAAGTGGATATAAACACATCTCATGAGACGTATATTATCTCACACCTTTCTAAAATGGAAAACCCAAAAATAAGGGATTGAATCATGATTTTCTATGCACGTCCCTATATATATATAGAGAGAGAGAGAGAGAGAGAGAGAGAGAGATTAGTTCTTGTCCCTTGACTTTACCAAGTCACACTTGGTACAATCTACCTCCTGGTCCTTCAATTTGTTGCAACTGACATGGAGATCCTTACAGCCTTAAAGGCCATTGCTTTACTAAATTCTGGGTCAGTTTTAACCAGATTGTTTGTCAATATTTTGAAAGATGTTAACAAATTTATAGTCTTTTAGCTGTCAAATACTGCTTGGCAAAATACAAGTGAAAACCCAGTTGATAAACAGTATTTATTATTTATTCAAAACTATTGAAACAGCACCTCAAGTGGAATTATAGGAAGAAGACCATATACTTATTTCATTTACTGATAAAATATATCGAAAGAAGACCATGTTCCTTGTTACATGGAGCCAAGATTGTTAGTTGTTGCCTTGTGGGATTTAAGTTTCTCTGTAGATATTTTAGTTATGATTGTATGTTGTATTTCTCCATAGTTTCTGACTTGTTTCCTCTTGGGATATTGGCAGCCTGAATCTGGAATTCCAATCACTAGGAAAGATGCTGTTATTTGCATGTATCCATCTGACCCAACTGTTGTTTTGGGGAGTTTGTCTGTTGTAGCTCTGTTTCTATCCACCTGTTTTGGATTAGCCTCTATATTCTACCCATACAATGGGGAATCTGTTCCACAAGCGGCTCTCTTCCAAAGCATTACATTTGTTGTTTTCTTGGCAATTGCTGTGTAAGTAACCTCTTCTTTGTTACCCATACTAAATCTTTGTGGATATCTACTTACGACCACTAAGACTTGAACAATATTCTTCTCGTTTTGTCAACCTGTTGTTATTTTCATTTTGTCATTCTTTTGTAGAAAATTTGAACGAACAATCGTTTTCCTGTAAAACTATTGACAGATAAATGTCAAAATGTCTAACTAATGGTTTCTTCTTAACACTTTAGCTGATAAGGATGACTCCATCATGGAACTTACAAGAATTTGTTTTAGACCAACTTTCCAAGTGGCAACTCTTGAAGTATTTAAGTTAAACTTTTTTATTTAATTTAGGACACTAAGTTTGATTAGTTTTGTATTTTTTTTTGAAAAAGGTAAAGTAATATATATTAAACTGCAAAAAATATGAAGGATATATAATCAGCCCAATTCCCTGTACAATGAGAAACTGTACTAAAGGAAAAACAACCCCTAGACCTAAACAAAAATGAGCCCAACAGGCAAATACAAACAAAGAAACTATCCAAAAAGGAGCTCTTTGTCAAAAAAAAAAAAAGAACTTGTATGTCTATGTAGAGAAGATGGGCGGAATGGCCCATAGCCCACAGTTGTGCTTTATATTTTTTATGTTCTGTTCTGTTAATGGGCCTGTTAGCATTAGTTTTCTCTTGTTTTAATTAGCTAACCGCCCCACTAAGGGCTTACTTGTAATTTTCTGTTAATTAGTGATTAACCATTTTAATTTAAAGGATTAGGGAAGGGAGAGTGTGTACAAAAAACTCATCTCTTTCATCCCTTTCTCTTCCATCATTCTCTTCCTCTTCTTCTCCCCTTTACTGTCTTCTTAGCTTCTTCCTCCCTTTTAATCAGATATTGTTTTCTTTATTTGGGACTGTTTTTCTTCTTGGTATCAGAGCAGGCCCCATTTTCTTTATTTTTTCTCTTTCTCTTTATCCCATACACAATGTGTATGGATAACTGAATCAATGATTGATTGAAGAAGATATTCAACTCAGTTGGTAGTGTTCCTAAGAGAAAAGAAGATTCTTTGTTCACTTTTCAAAACAATTTTTTTTTGGAATATTGCCCGAAACCCTAAACAACTGGAGATTTCTAATTGCGGGTCCCATAGGAGGTTTCACTTTGGCGTTCAGTGGTTAAAGGGGTTCTTTTTAGTTTTCTTGAAGATTGATCCAAGCAGAGTTTAGTTTTGTGAAGCCTACAAGGAGAGACTGATATTTCTCTGTTTCTCCCGGGTACCAGGTAAGGCATAGTTCTACTGTTGGGGGTCTGTGAGAATAAGGCATAGTTCTATTGTTTTGGGATTTTTTTGAGGAGGATGGATGGTTTTGGAGTTGAGAATAAGCTTGGCTCAAAGTCTAGACAAGTTCTGAGAGCACCTATAGACTCTTTATGGGCTATGACCATAGTCAAACTTGATGGGACTAACTATCTAGCACGGTCACAATCAGTAAAGATACATGTTTGTAGTAGAGGCAAGTGGGGATATATTTCCAGTAGCAAGAAAGCACCAAAGGAAGATGACCTGTCTCATGAAAAATGGTTACAAGAGAATTACATTGTTATTGGGTGGTTAGTGAATTCAATGCAACCCCAAATTAGTCAACACTATTTGTGGATGAATTCTGCTAAGGAGATATGGGACAGTTCAGAAGTGATGTGAATAATTTGAGGTCGGGGGAGAGACCTTTGGCAGTCTATTTCTCAATGCTGAAATCCTTGTGGAAAAAGATAGATCTCATGGAAACTGTTATTTGGGAAAGTACAAAGAACGCTGAAACATATAGGAGATTGGTTGAGAGGAATAAAGTCTTTGAATTCCTGGCAGGGTTGAATCCAGAATTTGACATTACCAGGCAGAATATCCTAGCTAAAGACAATGTATCTTTGTCTCAGGCTTATGCCATGGTGAGCAATGAGGAGAGTATGAGGTTGGTTCAGGTTCAAGGGGCAATTCTAGTTGACCATTTTGCTCATATGGGACTGAAACCCAAGGTAGCTGAAAGGAAGAAGGAGGTTATATGTGAGCATTGCAAGAAGCCGAAACATACCAAGGATACATGTTGGAAGCTGCATCCACACCTTCTTCCACCTCGCTTCAGAAAGAAGGCCGAAAATGGGAAGATTGGGAATGCCAATGCAGCCATAGTTTCCGATAATGACATGAGTGCAATTGATGAGAAGGCTGCTAGTGAGCAGTTAGCTGTAACGAAGGTTGAGTACGAGAAATATGGAAGGATGATTAGCCATCTCGACAGTGCAGCCACTTCCTCCAATCCATCAGGCAATCCAACTACTTCTACATTTGTTCATTCAAGTATACGAGCTACTACCAACCATGCAACCATCTCAGGTAATCTTAGAATCCCTTGGATTATAGATTCTAGATACCCTGTTTAATTCTTATGACCTACGTTTTGGCCGTGGTAAGATTACCTTGGCTGATGGCTCTCTTGTTCCTATCTCTAGTAAGGGAGTCACCAAGGCCACTAACTCCTTTCACTTACTTTCGTCCTTCATGTCCTTAAAGTTGCACACTAATTTGATGTTAGTGAGCAACCTAACCAAATCCTTAAACTATAGTATAACATTTTTTTCTTCTTATTGTGTTTTTCAGGACCTAAAGTCTTAGAAAGTGATTGGGAGTGGGCATGAGGCGAATGGAATATATCTGTTGGATACTCTTCGACAAAGCCAAGGACAGCTTGAGATATTTGCTTTTGGGTCTACTTTTTCAAAGTCTTTTAGTCATGTCATGTTATGTCATTTATGTTTGGGTCATTTATCCTTTCTTGCTTTGAGTCATTTATTTTTGGAATTGTTTAAAGGAATTAACATGTCTAGTCTTCATTGTGAGTCTTGTGAGTTATCAAAACATTGTAGAAACACTTATTCCTTGAGTAATAAGAGATCCACTTTTCCTATTCATATTATGCATTCTGGGGGCCATACCACTTACCTTCTATGGGTGGCTATCGATATTTTATCTTGTTCATTGATGTATTTCTCGGTTTACTTAGTTATTTTTTATGGGATCTCATGATGAGGTTCCCAAACTTGTGAAACAATTCCATGAATTTATTCTTACCCAGTTTGAGAAAAACCTCACTTATCTCATTAACTTTGGGGTTATCCACCAAAGCTCTTGTGTTTGTACTCTAGAACAAAATGGAGTAGCTGAGAGGAAGAATCGTCATGTAGTTGAAGTTGCAAGGAGCATTTTGTTTACTTCACATGTTCCTACAAAGTTTTGGGGGGATGTTTTTCTCACAACAACATACCTAATCAATCGTATGCCATCTAGAGTCTTGGGCTTTAAGTCTCCTTTTAATCTTCTTTATCCAAATAAGGAGCTTTTTTCTCTTCCCCTTCGAGTCTTTGGTTGTACCTTCTATGTGCACATTTCTAGTACCCAAAGACATAAGTTTGAACCAAAGGCCCATAAGTGCATTTTCCTTGGTTATGCTCCACATAGAAGGGTTATTGTTGCTTTGGTCTTAGTGGGCACTTGTTTTGTCTCAATGGATGCCACTTTTGCTGAGTCTATTCCCTTCTATGGTTCATCTCATGGGGAGCATTGTTCACAGGGAGAGTATTCTTCACAATTGTTTACACTCCTCCTAGTTCCTGTTGAGTTCAGAGGGGAACACTCATCCCCTAGTCCCTCCACTATTCCTATTTCTCCACCATTGCCTCCTCACCAGGAGTAAGCAGATTGTTTCTCCTACATCACATGAGCCTCCTATGCTTCCAGTTGTTGGAGAGCCAACAGGTGTTGAGGTCACACCTTTGTAGTCTCCCTTCCTTGACCTTGATGTACCTATTGCCATAAGAAAAGGTAAATGGAAATGTACTGCACATTGTATTTATAAACACCTTTCTTATGAACAGTAGAGTAGTATCCCAAACCACCAAAATGCCCCCAGCTGTTCCTCTTGCCGGTAAAGCCTCCCATTCACAGCTCCGATCTCCCCAGATGCTTTGAACCATAGCTCGATCCATTTTTTCCATTTTTGTTTCTTGTAAACAAAGAACACTTGGGTTCCACTTTTTTAAGAACGCATTGGCCACCACTCTCCTCCCCAAATTCAAACCCCATATATTCTAAGATAAAAAACAAAGGGACTCCATATTTACACCAATTAAATCAAAAGAAAGAAATGTGAACCCTTTCTAAAAGCCCCTCTCACCTTCCTTTACTATCCCTCTTCCCCCTGTTAATGCTCCCTGCCTTCTCATTTAGACCCCAAGCCAATCTAAAAAGTTCTTTCTCAGTTTTCCTGCCTTTTTTTCGTTTATCTTCCAAAACTCTACTCTCAATTGCCACCAGGTAATCTGTGGTAACCCCTTCCAATCCCTTTATCAATACCCCCAAAAACTCACCTATACTTAGTAACTTCGATAGCACCTAGTTTGACACATCATCTCTATTAGCATCTTCTCTCACTACCAAATCTAGAGAGTCTTGCCGCAAGCCTATACCATTCGAGATTTTCTCAGTCGGTATCACAGCTAACGGCTGTAGCTCGTCCTCCTCGGGCATCTTGCCATCCCTTGCTTCCCGAAAGACCATTTCCTTAGCTTCGAATGTAATTTTTTCTGGATGGTCTACCTCATTTTCCTTGCTTCTTCCATCGCTACAGACAGAGCAGCGCAGAACTCTCTCGACTGTCTTCTATCTGAATGCAACTCTACCACCTTCTCCTCAACAGAGTCGAGAGGCTGTCCTGCAGAGGTAGCCTCTTGGGTCTTTACTGGTCCGACCATCTCTTTGCCTGGATCTGAACTGGAGTGAGGCCTGTGCTGAACCCAAGGATCGCATGTGGTAGGGGTATCCTCTAGCATAGCTTCTACTGATGATACCTCAACCGCCCCCTCCCATAAATGGGTCGACTCCATAGGATCTGCAGATGAGGAGTTCCCTACAAGCGAAGTCATAAAAGATCTGGATCTCCTTCTACAATGAGCACGGTGTCCACTCCTACCTCTCTGACGGTTAGGATTGCCCCATCTCTCTTTCACTTTTTTACAGCATCTGTTGACAATCTGTTAAAGAAACATCTAAATTTGAAAAATGGGAGGAATGTTCGGTGGATCCTTCACCCAGATTTGAAAAATGTCTAAATTTGAAAAACAGTGGATCCTTCACCCAGATTTCAGGAAAGAGATAGCAGCTTGGTGGGAGGAATGTTCGGTGGAGGGCTGGGCAGGGCACAAATTCTCTTTGAAACTTCAGTTTATTAAAGGAAAGTTAAAAGAATGGAGCAAAAGAAATTTTAAGTCCTTTGTGGAAGAAAAAACATTCTCCTAGCAGGCATTTCAAGGCTGGATTCAATAGAAGCCTTAGGAAGTTTGAGTATAGAAGAGTTGGAGGAAAGAAAGAAATTAAGGGCAGATTGGGAACAGTTAGTTCAATGTTAGGAAATTTTCTGGAGACAAAGATCTAGGGTTCAGTGGCTAAAGGAGGGGGATAACAATACAAACTTCTTTCACAAGATTGCAAACAAATAGGAGAAGAGTCAACCCCATTTCTAA